ATCGAATGTCTGTTTGTTATGGTCGTCTAGCCTCATACTCTAATTCTGGAATAGTTTATTTGGAGATTGTTTTTGTTTCTTGTTTTTTTCTTTCTGAAATGTGCACTTCACATTCACTATGTAATCATGTTTTTAAATATTTTTAATCTTTGTAATAAAGAGTTTCTGTTTTATGTTGTAATTTCTTGGTTCTGTCCCTTGGTACCTAAAAAGCCCCACTTTTTCTTTTGTTCTCGATTTTGATATATTAGGGGTGTGGTACCTTTTTATATTCAGGATATTGTACTCTAGGATAAAGGTATTTCTTATACTTGCATTGTTTGTGCTCGGCCACCTTGGGTGGGGATGGTGTCATATTCCTGCTGAGATTCTGGGGACTACAAAGTAGCTAAAATCTTGCAATAAGACATTCCTTCACTTTGGACTCTTGCATATGTGCTTGACCTCTATAAATGGGTTGGAATAAACCTTTTTTCCAACACATGGTGAACAGGAACAAGGGAATGAGATGAAAGCTCACATTTAAAGAGTCCATGTAGTTGCAAAGTTTCACATTCACCAACTTAACCTGTACCTTTTTTACAGTTTTATTTTAGGAAAACAATTACACATACCCTTTAAAGGGTAATTCCACTTTTCCAGGCAAATTTGGGAGAATAGAATTACCCACACCGATCTGCCCCTGCTCCCCCCTCCTGCTGCTCTTTTGAAAGATCTTTGCTTCCCCTCCGTAGCGACACAACTTTGGAGCCCTGTGTATGCTGCAAGCACTATTTTGACCGGACCGCAGGCATTGATGTGCCTTGTGTTCCTGTGCGGCCGATCGCATGGCGGCCGGAGGGTGTGGCTACGGTGTCATTCACTTCAATGGACCAACATGCCCCCTCCTGCCCCACAACATAGTGAGCGGCCCCAATGCGATGTGTGTACGAGGCCTTAAGTCCCAGTTGGCTGTTTACTGTTTCTCTTCTTTTTACAAAACAGCTGATTGCTAGATTAGTGCTGTTTTGCTCTTGGCTTCATTTTTTTAAACTGAAGGAAACAAATAGTGACTACAGCAGCCAGTAAGACGCTTGTGTTTGTTTCAAATCCATACTAAAGACTGGAATCTGACAGCACCTATATTTTACCTTTCCTGCTGCGTTCACAACTGTTTGTTGGGAATTTTATCACTGGTAAATGATTGCCTAATGCAGCTGCAGTGTTTAGACCAGTGACACACTTAGTATATTTCCAGAGGAAATCTGCTGGCTTTCAGCATTTAAAAATATACAGCTCTAGTTGGGTGGTTTCCCTTAACTGAGAATCTGCCAGTATTCTGAGAAACGTATCTGAAATGTGGGTGGGGAGGCTGCTTGTTTCTCTCCCCTCCTAAAATCAGATAATGGATTTGTTTAAAATCGCTCTCCTTCTAGTAGCTACATCCAGTGGTAAGAATTAGTTTTTCTGCCTTTTTCAAGGTGATGTGACATAATTTATATTGTAGTTAAGCAAGCTGGCCTTACACTGATATATTTCTCTCATCCATCCTGCGATTGCCGCCACTGTTCGGATTATGAAATTATGACTGACTCCTTCAAATTACTAATCGATAGAAGCTGGACAGGAGGGTGCTGACAGGGCCACCCACTGAACGCATTTTGGCAGGTTCGTCAAGTACTGGACAAAATTCTTAGTTTATGGCCAGCTTTTAGGGTGGTGTACCTATTATAACTATCCTGCTTTGGCCAATAAGATATTGTAGTGTTCAGGGCCTTTCGGGCTTGATTGGTTAGGTTACCATTTTTGTGCTGGAAAGCCAGTTGCAATAGATCAACTCTCTGCTGGAAAAAAACATGGCATGTATAGATTTTCAAGGTTCAAAATTCAGACAGGTTTACTAAAACCCATATGATAGTATTGTAGCCCTAGCAGTGATCAAACAGATTGTTGCCACATAAGTATCAATATGATAATTTATTTCAGGGGTGTGGAATTCCTATCGCCCGACGCTCAGGACATGCAGGTTTGGGTGCCGGGCGAGTAGTTTTTTGTTCATTTAGCCCTGCTTTGGTTGAGCAGAACTAAATGTACAGCAGGGATACGCTGCACGCTTAATACAAGTGATTTGATCAGATCACTTGTTCATAAGCTCAGGATAAAGAGTGTAGAGCAGGCGAAGATCATCGTTTTGCCTTTATCTGCTCTGTGATCACTGAGACCAGAGCCCTGTAATCGCAGAACCACCTGTTTTTGTGCTGGAGGGCAGGTTCCATAAAGAGAACCGGTCACCTCCAAACTATCACACAGGGGATTTTAAGCCCCTATGTGATCGGAATAAAATTAAGTGGAAACAAAATAATAACATAAACATTTAAAAAAAGTGATAAAGTAAAATAAATAAAACTCAACGTGTGTGAGTGCTGCCCCATTCCACTGTGTGCCATATTGTGGTAGCCAGGCAGCAGAACTCTTTTACACACACACACAATGTGCATTAAAGGGTAAGTTCACTTTCCCAGGTAATATGGGAAAACGGAATTACCCAACCAAATCTGGCCCCGTCTCTTCCAACCCCACCCTACGCCATTATGAGTGTACTATCTGTACCCCGTACTGCTGTCCAGCGCAGTCTTGCCCTGTGCTTTTTGAATTTTGCTCGCAAATTGCAAGCACTCATTTGGTCTGGTGACCACGCTGACCAATGAGAAGTGCTATTTAGCACAATCAGATATGGTTTTGATTGGGGATGCACCGATAGAGTACTTGTACTAACCCAAATGCACCGATACCTTCCCCAATACCGGAACTTCCGGTCAGGGGAAGATTTCCTCTGACTGGCAGTGCCGTAGGGGAACATGGAGCCAGCTTCAGGAAGCCGGGCAGCAAGTAATGATCTGCCTCCCGGTTTCCTGATTGGCCCGGAAGCCGTCTTCCCAGCCTCTCGGCATCGGGCCATCTTCCCGGGCCAATCGGGTCATTACTCGCCACTCGGCTTCCTGATTGGCCTGGAAGCCGGCTTGATTCTGATTGGCTGGAAAGCCGGTCACCTGGCCAAACAACATGGAGCCGGCTTCCCTGGCAGTCAGAAAGCCTGGTGGCATGTAATTGACCGCTGCCCGGCTTCCCGATTGCCCGGAAAGCCGGCTACATGCCAGCAGAAGCACCGCTATTGGTACTGGCGAGTACCTAAAGCAAAATATCGCTACTCGATACCGGAAAAACGGTATCGGTGCATCCCTAGTTTTGATTAAAACTATTTTTTTGTATTGGGATAAGTAAATTGTCATGAGGGACATGTAGATTCGGCCCCCGCTTTAGCCCTTGGACAAGTTTTTTTTTTTTTTTTTAAATTTCCACACCCTGTATTGATGGAACAAAACTCATTAAATAAAACCAAATCACAAACAAGCTGTTGAATGATTTAGACCCTTGGTACTCAACTGGTGGGTCGTGACCCAAAAGTGGGTCGCGACCCCGTTTTCAGTGGGTCGCCGCATGCCCTTCACTTTTCTATGTGAGAGGCTCCTCAGCCTCTCACATAGAAAAGTATACACCTAGCATAGCAATATCAGTTCTTGCACTGAGCAGCCATTCAGAATATGCTGCCTGGAGCCAAGTGTCAGCTTGAGGTGGGTTGGGCTGGAGCAATGGCCGCGAGGGAGCTGTAGAGGTGCCTGGATCGGAGTGACGTCACATTCTGGCTCCTAGCACCTCTACAGGGCGCAAAGGAGTTGTACAAGCAATGTATGTATGGATGAAGCTCTGTCACAGCACAGCAGCCCAGCACTGGGCCCCAAGCTGAGGATCGCACGGATCGCTCACACCGGAACCCATGGTACCGCAATGCCGTGCATTCCACTGCACTGCGACTTGGGTCGCCACTTAATGTCCAAGGACAAATGTGGGTCCTGAGGTTACATAGGTTGAGAGCCACTGTTCCTTCACTTCATGTATCGTAGACACAATAGGAATCAAGGGAAAATCTTTCCAAAGTGATGGAAATCCTTTCTTAAACAGTTGACCATACAACTGTCTGTCTTCCTCTCTATTTCTGTTGCAATGACCAGTCAAATTTTTGGATTTTCCCTTTACGTTTAGTTTGTGACTATGTCTACAAGAACAAATAGAATGGGTGAATCTGACCATCTGGAATGCAGACAGTTATAATATCTTGACATGGTTGCTAACTCTTTCCCACTGTATCCATAAACTGAAATGTATCCTGAAGTCAAAACTTTTTTATTAAGAGCATGTGACTGTGAGTATTCCTATGTTGCGTGAATATTTCAGGAAATAATGCAGTGTTTAGTTTGGAAGGTTTATGTGCTGTGCAATGTATGCCATGCCAGCAATGCCTCCATATTTGAACTCAAAAATGTATGTTGGGGATTATGATAAATACAGAATCCCAATATGTCATATGCAAGAACAAAGAGGCAGAAATAAAATAGAGGTGACTTATGTGATTCAAAGTCTGTGCCAAAGCAACAGGGTATTGCAATCAACATATGCGTTTTGTGTTTGCTGTTGTACAGTGTCTAAATGTGCATTTTCTTAAACCCAGCTTCTCTTGGAAGTCTGGAATGGATACTATGAGTAGAAATTTCTTGTGCTTGTCTGCCAGGCCTGGCCTTCAAAAAAACTGTACAAGATTTACACAACTTTCACTCAAGATTCACTAGATTTTCTAAATGGAAAAATGTGTCACTCTTGAGTGAAAACATATTTCACCCTCTTATTTTGCTGATCTCTATTCTGGGCATATGGAGTCAAGTCAATCACTTCCATTGAATTGGTATTTACGGATAATTATTTTCCTGTAAACATAGCTGTCAGATGCAGCCCACCATAAAATCAAAGATATATTTGTTATAAAAATAAAGCACGTAATTATAAAATGAATAGTGTCTATTAGTAGCTGTTTTTATGTGTGCTACTTTCATAAAAGAACTGTAACTTGAATGTGAAGATCTGCCAACTGCACATGTAAAATTGCTGTCATGTTTTTTGTTATTCAGATAAGGTACATCTCTCAAACTCAAGGACTTCCTGCAGAATATCTTCTCAGTGCTGGAACAAAGACCTCTAGATTTTTCAACAGGGATCCAGATTTGGGCTATCCATTGTGGAGGTTAAAGGTAGTTCTACTAAATGGCTTCTTATTATTCATGCACATTACATACCTCAAACTTTTTTATGTATACTGTATACACACAGTCCTCATTGACACGAAAGTATTTATATATTCTTAGCAAGCAGTAACCATGCTTCAACTACTAGAGTACTAGTCTGTATATACCCTTTAATTGCCAGGCAATTTTTCCTTTTCAGCACTTTGATCATTTGAGTGATTATTACTATTACTATTAATTTTTATTACCAAATTAATTTTATATTTTCTTTTTTTCGCCAGCTAGAGCTTTCGTTTGGTATTTTACAACCACTGGGTTCTTAACAAGACCAAAATTAAAAACAAAAAACTATTTTCTTTTCTGTTTTAAAACCTGTCAAATACAAATACCAGGACACTGCCCCCGAAAAGACATCTTTTTCAAAAGTAGACATAAGTGATCTATTTTTTTTGCTACTGTTTTTGGAAATGAAAAAACATGCTGGCATTGAGGTGGTTAAAACATATCTTCGTAATAATGCTTTAGGTGCAGTGCATCATTAATGTACAAGTCGTATACATAGGGAAGATGACGTGAAGGGCTTAATGTACAGGTTACATACAGTGGGAGGATGAAGTTGTGGGGGTGCACGATAAGTGAGGTGAATGATATACAGGCACTATAGAGACAGGATACAGCTAAGATGTATCGGAAAGTAGACGGGGAGAACAGGTGACAAAACCGATTCCAATTTAAATCCCTCACCATTATTCTGCTGATGATGATCCCTTCATTCTTAAATCTTTTATTAAGAAATCCTCACCCCTCCCCTTTCTCCATTGCGAGAGGAAGGGGAGGGTTCTTTGATGTAAACAGTAGCTACGGACGATCTAAAAGTGATCAGAGATGAAATATATAGGAAATCTATCTTGGACCTATAGAGGAGAATCATAGGTGATGTACAGTATAAGGTATAAAAGCATGAAGTGAAAAACTTACACTTCACAGTGTTTGTGGGTAAACTAATATTCCCATTCTTAGGCCCTGTGTCCTGGAAGACTAATGGAAATAGAGTTACCGGTAAGTCCTAACTCTGAATTTTTTTTATCCTGTTGACCTTTTATAAATAATCACTTTGGACTCTACCAGTTGTGGTGGAACCCCTGTCTGTTCTTGATCCCTTAAACACAAATTTTGGCAGAAGAAACTAATATTCTGGATCCCGGAGCTTATTGTCTAAGCATTTGGTACGTCTCCATTCAGCAGGGACCATTTGACCAAAAGCCATGTGATCAATAACAAAACAGTATGAATGAGTTTTTATTTGGAAAGATCACTTTGCCCTAGAAGCTGTAGGAGAGTTTGTATAGACTAGGGTGTTAAATACATATACATTTGGAATGGGAATTCATGTTGACTTCCACAAACTGAAACAAAACCTGTAACATGTCATGGTTAGCCTCATGGCTTGGGGTTGATAGATAATCCTGTTTTCCTAATAAAATATATTGATACTATATGTATGAGACACATGTATTTTTTTTCCTCCCTTTTTCCAACTAGACCCCAGAGGAGCATGAAATGGAAACTGGGATCAAATCGAAAGAGGCTCGGAAGTATATCTTTAATTGCTTAGATGACATGGCACAGGTAAGTTGTTACACAGATTAAACTTATGTTCTATTATTTAGTGACAAAAACTTGAGGCAAACTTTTCATAGTCACTTCACGTCTTGAGAGTTTTCACTGGATTGGACACCAAGAGCCTATGCAAAATATGGGAAAAGTTGGAAAACCTCTGGTAACAACTGTCATAGGAGAGATTTGCTGTTGCTTTGGAGAGATTTGTCGTGTCTCTGGGAGATGAAGTACAGGGGTGTGTAAATTTAAAAAAAAACTACTTGTCCAAGGGCTAAGGTGGGGGCCGAATCTACTTGTCCCAATACAAAAAAAAATAGTTTTAATCAAAACTAGGGATGCACCAATACCGGTTTTTCGGTATCGAGTCCGAGTACCGATCATTTGCTTTCGGTACTCGCCGATACCAAATACCAATACCGGTGCTTCTGCTGGTATGGAGCAGGCTTCCTGGGTAATCAGTTAGCCAGGCAGCGGGTATTGACATGCCACCCAGCTTCCTGATTGCCAGGGAAGCCGGTTCCATGTTGTTTGGCTTGCTTAATTGTGATTGGTCGGGAAGCCGGCTCGATGCTGATTGGCCGGGAAGCTGACTTTCCAGCCAATCAGCAAGGAGCTGACTTCCTGGTCAATCAGGAAACCAGAAGGCGGGTCATTACTTGCCGCACGGCTTCCTGATTGCACTGGAAGCTGGCTCCATGTTCCCCTACGGCACTGCCGCTCAGAGGAAATTTTCTTCTGGCCGTAAGTTTCAGTATCGGGGAATGTATCAGAGCATTTGAGTGAGTACAAGTACTCGCCCAAATACTCGGTATCGGCACTGATACTAGTATTGTTGCATCCCTAATAAAAACGTATTTGACTGTGCTAAATACCACCTGACCACGCTGACCAATGAGTGCTTGCAATTTGCGTGCAAAATTAAAAATGCATAGGGCAGGACTGTGATGGACAGCATCACGTGGTACAGATGGTACACCCATACTGGTGGAGGGGAGGGACTGTACGCTGAAAGGTAAGTATGGGGGGGGGTTGGGAGAGGTGGGGCTAGATTTCATCGGGTAATTCTATTTTCCCATATAACCTGGGAAAGTGAACTTACCCTTACATTGTGTGTGTAAGAGTTTTGCTTCCTGGCTACCACAATGGAATGGCGGCAGCACTCAACGCACAATGTCCTACGCGCACATTTATTTGCATGTAGATGGCAGGGGCAGTGGGGTTGGTTTTAATTTTTAATTTTTTTTATTTTACTTTTATTTTTCACCTTTTTTATATATTATTTTTTACTTTATTTATAAAAAATGTTTAATTTTTTACTTTTTTCCCCCACTTAATTTTATTCCTATCGTATAGGGGCTTTCAAGCCCCTATGTGATAATTTGGAGGTGACAGGTTCTCTTTATGGAACCTGCCCTCCAGCACAGAACAGATGTTCTGTGCCGGTCCTGACAAGTGAGACAGGTGGTGCTGTGATTACAGCGCTCCAGTCTGTGATCACACACACAGCCACAGCAGATGAAGAACGGACGTAGAAAAGCAGGGGGGCCTCGAAAACCACGGCGGGGGTTGCGGGCGGACACTATCACTGCTGCTCGTTTGATAGAAGTGATCTGATCAGATCACTTGTATAAAAACGAGCTGTCCCCACTGTACATTTAGCTCTGCTTGTCCAAAAAATCTACTCGCCCGGCGCCCAAAACTGCATCTCCCGGGTGTCGGGCGATAGGAATTCCACACCCCTGGAGTGCTGTAATAATTCCTGAAATCGGCAGTTTCTTGCCTACAGGCCAAAAAAAAAAACCCTGATAAGTATTCTAACCCCATCTATTGGTAGAAAAATGGCCAGGACTCTACATTACATATACTGTTTGTGAGCTAAAGTATTGTTCAATTGTTCAAATATTAAAAGTGTATTTTTACTTTTGTAGCCAAATGGGGATGACACCTACTTATATGTTCCCATTCACACTGTATAATAAAAATGGCTGCAAACGTTTTTATATGCTTTTTTTCTTGCTTATTAACTACCTCTCTAGCTCTCTAGATCTGAGCGGGCGTCTTTAGAGGTCCGCTCAGCGATGGCCACTCGTGCGCGCCGCAGTGGGCGCACCGTCGCTGGCTCAATTACAGATGGAATAACTCTATACCTACTGACATTAACATATACATTAGCCGCATGTGGCGAACTGTGTCAAACGCTTTTGCAAAGTCCAAGTCTACTATATCCACAGCCATTCTTCTGTCCAATTTTTTGCTCCCTCATTTGGCTAGAGTCGGTGGACCCTTTCACGTCTGTCACATGTGCTCAGGGTGCACCTGCTCTCATCTGTGAAAAGCACAGGGCGCCAGTGGCGAACCTGCCAATTCTGGTTTTCAATGGCAGATGCCAATCGACCTCCACGGTGCCGGGCAGTGAGCACATGGCCCACTAGAGGACGTCGGCCCTCAGGCCACCCTCATGAAGTCTGTTTCTAATTGTTTGGTCAGAGACATTCACACCAGTGGCCTGCTAGAGGTCATTTTGTAGGGCTCTGGCAGTGCTCATCCTGTTCCTCCTTGCACAAAGGAGGACCCTCTATAGGGTCCAGGTATAGCCTCATGCTACCAGTAGTGACACTGACTCTAGCCAAATGCAAAACTAGTGAGAAACAGAAAAGATGAGTAGGGAAAAAAATGTCAGTGGCCTCCACCTTTAAAACCATTCGTTTTTGGAGGTCGTCTCATTGTTGCCCATCTAGTGCACCTGTTACTTAAATTAACACCAAAGCAGCTGAAACTGATTAACAACCCGCTCTGCTACCTAACTAAAGCTGGCCATACACCTTAAGGTGCCCATAGACCTTACAATTATCTGCAGATTTTCTGTGGTCAGATGGAAAAGGGTGCAACAGATTCCTCTATCTGCACTTTAACTGTGTGGATGGAGTAATCTCCCCCTGGGCCAAGCTTCCGTAATCTTGCTAGTCGGCCCCGCTGGCTCTCAAAACACCTGAACAATGCCTGCATCCAAACAGATTGTTCGGGTATTTTGACAGACAACGGGGCTGACTAGCAAGATACTGAAGCGTGTCCCAGTGGGAGATTCCTTCATCCACACAGTTTAGCAAAGATGGAGGAATCTGTTGCACTTTTTCCATCTGACCATAGAAAATCTGCAGATAATTGTAAGGTGTATGGGCACCTTGACCCGATCAATATCCCAGGAGTTTAACTTAATGCTATACTCTGATTTAAAGAGTGTTCCTTTAAATTTTTGTGTATATTTGTGGGCAGAACACTGTGTGCATAACAACGTTGCTTGTTTTATTTATACTGAGGGAGGTATTTGGGTATTTATGGGACTATTGTGAATCTTGTTATAAGTTTGTGCAATAAAGGTTTTGTATTGGTTAGTGATCCAAAGACCTCTCTCTTCTTTCATATTTTTATTTTAATTATCCCTGTTTGTACTGTGCTGCCAGATCTTAACAGTTGTAAATTGGATTTGAACACTGTCTGTCCCAACACCTTAAGGGTAAGGACTTAAGCCAGGTATACAGAATTCGAATTTGATGCGTCTTACCAATCGGCATCCCTCGATCAGCTGATTGAAGGGACATGTCAGAAAAATTGTCAGCCAAACAGAGCTAGCAGCCAATGAGCTGCCAGCTGTGTTCGGGTATCCCTACAGTAAACAGCATGAGATTCTTTGATTAACACTTGTAAGCGTTGACTGAGCAATCTGTTCTATTCTCTTTGTTGAACCCGCGGGTTGAACGAAGAAGAAAATAGACGCGTGTTTACCCGACTTTAGAAGCATTGTATGCACACACATGACGGTCCTGGTTGACACTACACCTGCACACTTGTCAGCAGTAGGACTTGTTCAGTATAAAGGTGCCCATACACTGTACAACCATCGCAAGACCTCAGTCTTGCGATGGTTGTAAAGTGATTTAAAAAAACGTACGATCTGCCCATCTTGGACAGGAAGATCGCACTCTCGATCATCGCAAGCCCGCCCCCCTGAGGGGCGGGCTTCCGATGACCGCAATGCTGAACGGGCAGTGTGCGCGTGCGCACACCGGCCAGTTCGGCATTTGTCTCCCGAGCACCGTTCAAACCAGCCGAAAATCGTACTATTTTCGGCTGGTTTTCTAGCGTGCTCCTTAGACAAAAGATGTGCGACCGTACAGTAGAAACAGTCGCACGTCTTCGTTCACACTGCTCGATTCTCGTACGATCGCGGGATTTCCCGCTATTCTCGTACGAGAATCGAGCAGTGTATGGGCACCTTTACACTGCCTGTTGTATTTCTTATGTGGCCTAGATTAGGGGAATCAATGTGTCTTGTGTAGTAGCAGGTATTTTCCCAACAGCTGTGAAATGTAGTGAAAAGGAAAGCCAACAACGCTGCTTCCTGTAGAACAATTTTTGTTTTTGTCTTCTAAACTGTAGGACATGCTGGATGAAAAGGAAGGAATTTCTAATTAAATTGGACCTGTCATTTAAAGCAACTAAATGGCCTGGTATGACTTAAAGGGGGAACCCCCCCCTTTTTTTTTTTACATGGGGTCCCTCCTTAATATTCCTACCAGACCTTAATGGTCTAGTATGACTTTTAGGGGGAACCCTGCACTTCAAAAAAAAAAATGAGGTCCCTCCTAACATTCCTACCAGACATAAAGGGTCTGGTATTGTTTGGGAGGGGGAACTGCATGCTTTAAAAATTAAAAACAAAAAGTCTTTTTTTTTCATTTGCTGCAGCAGGTTTCGCCTATATGTGAAACACCCGGTAACGGGTGTGTGCAACGGTCGGGTCTTTTCTGCCCGTGCGTGCAGAAAAAAATTGCCGTCTGGAGACGTCAACCCGCAGATGTAGCAGTGCCGTCCGTCCGTTTTTTTTACTACGGGCGGACGGCAAGAGGTTAAAAACTATTTTTGAAAAGTTTTTTCTTTTTTTTTTTCATTGATTCCTGTTCCCCAGGGCATTCCCCCATAATAACTTGCATATAAGCCCTCTTAAAGGGGACAACTCTTTTTGAAGGTTCTACCCCCATTGACTTGCATTGAGTTCGAAATCGAACCTTTTGGATGTTCTAAAGTCCGAATACGAACCAAACTCGGGCCTGTTCTTCCCATCACTAGTAGAAACCAGTGAGTACTGCAGGTCACACGGTGGATGGGCACTCCCAAAGGTTAATGGAGTAGCACAGGCATCAGGTGAGGTAAGTACTTACACTCTTTATCCTTTTTGCTGCCGATGGTGTAATGAGTACTGCAGGTCACACGGTAGATGGGCACTCCCAAAGGTTAACGGAGTAGCACAGGCATCAGGTGAGGTAAGTATCTACACTCTTCATCCTTTTTGCTGCCGATGGTGTAATGATAATTACATCGGCAGCAGCACCGGCATGTAACAAATATCACACGATGTAACACTATAGCAGCCATGAGTTTAAATTTTATGTAGTAGAACTTCTACCCCTATATCTCCCTCCCTTTGGCAAGGGTAGAAGCAGATTAAAGGAGAACTATGGGGTGAGTGCTTTTCACTCATCCTCATAGTTCTAGCCGACCTGTGACAATGAAACTGTCACAGGTCAGCTCAGTAGATCGGGAAGTGAGCAAACACATACCGGCTCACTTCTCGATCCTGTCACGGCAGAGAGCCGTGACGGGAGGGGCTGGATTCCCCCCGCTCCGATTCTCCCGCGCTGACTGGCGGAACAGACAGGGGTGGGGGCGGGTACAGCTGGCTCTGCCTCTAGATAGGCAGAGCCAGCTGTCACTCACGCAGCTGGGCGGATCCAGACATAATTGTCGGGATCCGCTTCAGCTGCGGCGTCTCATACAGCTCGCGGTATCCTGAGCTTAGGGTGACAGGAGGACGCTAGTTTGTGTCCTCCCGTTACCCTAAGGAGAACTATGGGGAAAAGCCCTAACCCCATAGTTCTCCTTTAAGCACAGCTAACGGTAAGAATGCCATAAAAAGTAAAATTCAGACCCCAACTACTTGGTGAATCACTGCCCTGGAACCAGCATGTGCATATCAGGTGCTAATATGCACTGCGGTCCGGTGCGGTCAAAATAGTGCTTGCAGCATTTTGGCCGCACTGCGATCCTGTGCGGGCGATCGCATTGCGGCCGGAGGGCGTGGCTACGGGGCCATTTACTTCAATGGCCAGCCACGCCCCCTCCGGCCCCACAAAATACTGAGCCGGCCGCGATGCAGTGCGTTGTGGCCGGAACGCACTGCATCTGGTGTGAACAGGCCTTTAATGCCCTTGTAAGGACAGTCATGCATCATTCACCTTCATAGACACCCATGGCAGGTCCCATATTTCTGACCTGGCAACTTCTTTTAAAAAAATTATCATCTAATATAATTGTAACTAGACTTTGTTTACACTTCCTTGAACAAATAATCAGTATGATTAGGAACCTTTTAAATGTACACTATATTGTATAATAAGTAAAATGCTTAGCTCTCATTGTTTTATGTTAGATTTTGGTCAGTTTTTGGTGGGATCATTGCAGTATCTCAAATTGTTTAGAGCCATATCAGACTTGGAGGACAGAGGCATTGCAATGCATGCTCAGGTATTGTGCTTGGTTTGATGTTTGTTTTGTAATTCATAGGTGAATATGTCTACAGACCTAGAGGGCACAGATATGTTGGCAGAGAAGGCAGACAGAAGGGAATATATAGATTTGCTAAAGAAAATGTTGACCATTGATGCGGATAAGAGGATAACTCCAATGAAAACCTTAACCCATCCATTTGTTACCATGACTCACCTGTTGGATTTCCCTCATAGTAACCAGTAAGTTTGAATGCTTTGTATATTTCCTAGTTTTTTTTTTTTTTTAAATTTAGCTTTATTTGCTTCACTTAATATTTTTTGGCTGTAGGTAATAATTTATTGTTATTAAACCACATATTAATGTTGGCTGTCTTTCCTTGTAGTGTGAAGTCATGTTTTCAGAACATGGAGATCTGTAAACGAAGGAACAACATGTATGATACAGTAAACCAAATTAAGAGTCCTTTCACAACACATGTTGCTCCCAATACAAGCACAAATCTAACGATGAGCTTTAACAATCAGCTGAACACTGTGCACAATCAGGTATGTGATGGAAGTATGGTCTCTTTATACCACTGAAACATTCAAATGTTATAAAGTCCGGTGCTGCCCTTGACACTGTGGATGATGCTTTTCATGTGAAACTTAAGGTTTTTGTTTTTTTAAAGAGCAAAACAGCCCCTTTCAGGGGAACTGTATAGTTTTCACTGATGTTTAGCAAATAGTATATTGCATATTTTTTGCCTTTTTTTTCTGCTATGAAGAGCCTCACCATGTACTTTCTGAAGTCACTACTAATTTGGGTGATCTGCCTTCAATATTGACCCTTTTTGTAGACTCACATTGGGTGCATCCTCTTAACCCTTTCGCTGCCACCAACATACGGCTTACGTCGGTGGCGACTGGTCCGTTTAAACAGTGTCAGCATGTCGTGTGTTGGTAGGGAGGAGAGCGGCAAACTTCCATTCACCAATCTCCTCCCTGTTCTATAGGACCCGGAGTGTCCCGTATTGCATCACTTCCGGTCCCATAGCAGTCATTTCCTCAGCTCTTGAAGCCGAGCAATACGCTATTGAAGTGCGATCTGCTTTTCAATAGCTTATTTAGAGTTGAAAGGTGATACTATCTGTCTTTTGAACCCCCCCAGTATCACCTTAGAGCAGTGGTCCCCAACCCCCGGGCCGGTCCGTGGATCAAATGGTACCGGGCCGCCCAAGGAACATTAAATTATTTCCATTTTATTTACTGTGGTGTATTTCTCTCGGGTTTGTCCGACTTTCCAGGACGAGAGGTTAACCGGGAGCTGAGAGACGTCACCTAAAGCCACACCAATACCGCGCATGCGCAAAATATCGTGATATCGGGGCGGTTTTAGGTGACGTCTGGAGCTGAGCGGCTGCAAGCGGCAGTGGCGTTGTAGCTTTGTTAAAGAGAAGGTGTGTATCGCTCTTCTCTCTGTTCACCGGTACGTTCTCATGTTTAACAGTGCTTGGTGTACGTGTATATTGTGTTTGCTCAAATTTAACCCACAAATTAGCAAAAATGAGTACGAAACAGACGTCGTTAGAAAGTTTCCTTGGGAAAAAGAAAAGGCCCAGTGAAGAGACAGAAGAGCGGCCTTCAACATCAAAGAAACATGTAACTTTTAACAGACAATACCATGAGTCCTACTTGAAATATGGATTTATCGGGACAGGTGATTCCAATCTAAAATATAAACAATCAACGTCCCCCCCTCAGCGGGCCGCGGTAAAATTATCAAACGTTGACCGGTCCGCGGCGATAAAAAGGTTGGGGAGCACTGCCTTAGAGGACCTGTCACTGCCAATATGCTATCACATGGGGGATTGTAAGCCCCCCTATGCGATAGCAATTAAAGTAAATGAAAAAAAAAAGTTTTAAAAAATATTAAATGAAAAAATAATCAAACCTCTTTTTTTTTTAAAGTCCCCCCGTGAGCACGCACACATTCGCGTAAACACACGTCGGGTGCACCTATGTATGAAAACGACACTTGCACTACATGTGTATCGCCGCACACGCCAGAGTGAGAACAATAATTCTAGTGCCAATATTTTGTTAACCTGTAGGGGCTTTTAAAGTGTCATCTATGGACTTTTTGAGGTACTGAATTATGTCGCCATTTCACGGATGCACTCAATTTTTAACCTGGGCATGTTGGGTCTCTATTTACTCCCTGTCGTTTATCTTTTACAAAAATTAGTATTATATTTTGTTTTGGGGCACTACAATTAACTTGAGTGCATTTGTCACAAAATGTTTGGATTTTGATAAAGAGATACACTAATATCGTACATCAAAACATTTTTGCAACTGCTACATTTTTATTCTACAGGGTCTAGGCTTTCAGAAAATTTTTTTGGGGTTTAAAGTAACTTTTAGGCCTAAAATGAGGATTATAACGTGTGCAAAAAAAGGGGGGAAAAAAGGCCTTGGCCTCGAAAGGGTTAAACAAGTATCTAGGCAGAAATGAAACAATAGGGAATATCTATAACTTGAATTCCAGCTCTCTGCAGACTCTGAGTCGTACAGAAGCTTGTAATTACATATTTGGGATATTTGTATAGCCTTAATTTGCTAATTTAGAACAATAATATGTTACCAAATTGTGTTTGTAGGAATTTGACAATTTTTTTGTGAAAGTTCAGCTTTCCATTTAGATTTAGATGTATATAAAAACCACTGTCCAGCCGAGCTTTAAAGGATTGGCTCCTTTAATCTTGCCACCTTTTTTAGGCTAGTGTATTGGCTTCAAGTTCATCCGCTGCCGCTACACTTTCCCTGGCAAATTCAGATGTCTCATTACTGAACTATCAGTCTGCGCTTTACCCGCCATCTACAGCTCAAGTCACTGGCATCACACAGCAGGGTGTCCCTCTGCAGCCTGGAGCAACCCAACTCTGTACCCAGACGGATCCATTCCAGCAGACGTTCATTGTTTGTCCTCCAGCATTTCAAGGTAACCTGTTTAATAGTTAATAGGGTTCGCAATCACTTAACACTCTAGTGCTTACTGTCTGGGAATTTATTGAAAAGTTTGTTGCTATAGTTCCTTTTCTCACTTTTCCATCTCACTTTTGAGAACTGCATGTGTATAGTTGTCATAGTTCAAGCACCAAGGGTCTTTATTTTCAGAACCTACATCTCCAACTTGTTTCAGGCATTCTCATAATACAATGTTATCCGACTTGATGGATAGCAGCATACACAGGCAAACATAATTTCTCCCGTGTTATTGGCACACCTGATGGGGATTGTTAGATTTTTCCATCTCCATTTGTTTTATGAACATACAAATTAGCCCCCATCAAGATTTTTTTGGGTGGGACAATTTAGTTTTTGATAGGTTTTAGTTAACAGGTTACTGGGTTACTATCTTTGTCCATCTTAAACAACATCAGATATGTAATTTTCAAGTTGTCTAGTTTAAATATGAAGTGTATTATTTTTAAGCTGCTGGGCTTCAATCAACTACCAAGCATTCCAGCTTTCCTGTTCGCATGGACAGTAGCGTCCCCATTGTACCACAAGCTCCTGCTGCACAACCTCTCCAGATCCAGTCGGGAGTCCTGACTCAGGTAATTTTAACGTCCCAGTGTGAATGGCTTAATTTAATTACTGCTATATTTAGGTAGTATCACTTCTAATTCGTGACGTGTTCTTAATAAGCATTAGCTCATATACTTCTAGGAGGTGAATATTGTGTTAAACCTTACATCACCACAATATTGACTACCTTTTGCTTCCATGCCTATATGCTTAAAGTGAACCTGCAGGCAGCATAAACCTCTATGTGATGAGTACATATTATTCTTATGCAGTATTTAATTGACCATATACGTGTGTGTGTGTATATAAATTTCCATTTCCACTCGCCCCCTCGCAATTGGCGAGTGAAAATTGCATGGGGGCGAGTGGAATGTCATTGAGGGGGTGCGCCCGGCGGGACCAGGGATGGGACACTACCGCCGTGGCGATCGTTAGCTTCTATTATCTCTTCTCCTCTCGCTGCGGTCGAGGAGGAGAAGAGAGAATAGAAGCGAACGATCGCCGCAGCGGTAGTGTCCCATTCCTGGTCCCGCCGCTGGCGCACCTAGATGACATTCAGTTCCACTGTCTTCCCTGCGGCTGTCTTCTGCAGCTTCCTCCGCCCACCTCAGCTGCCATAGGCTGGGAGGAAGACTGCAGAGACAGTGGAGTGCAGGAAAAGAAAGTTTTATCTCCCTACATTCAGGATTTCTATACCACCCCCACCACCATCACCACCAGGAGAAAGAAGGCACCTGAATATCATCAGCTAAGTGCACTGTAAGTCCCTTTTCTTTCTTCCTTACACCGCTGACCCCTGCGCTGTGCCTCAAGGCTGTGACACTGCAGGCGTAGCGATGCGAAGTGATGCAATGCAAAGCGAAAAAATTGCAACCTTCCACTTCGCACTGCAGCTTGTCTACACTGTAGTTTGAACTGTATTTTTTCATGGTTACCTCTACAGATTCTGCTTGTCATGGATACCTCTACAGAGTGGTTAAACCAGGTCCAATTTGGGACAGTGGTGGAGAGCCAGGGCCCAGTCGCAGCTGCAAACGCTACCACCCTGGTAGTTCTGCCACTGGCTCCAGGCTGTAGAGCAGGGGGAGCCAAACTCTGGCCCTCCAGCTGTGGTGGAACTACAAATCCCATGAGGCATTGCAAGGTTCTCACAGCCACAGACATGACTCCCGGAGAGAGATGCATCATGGGATTTGTAGTTTCACCACAGCTGGAAGGCCGGAGTTTGGCTACCCCTGCTGTAGAGGAACTACAAGTTTCAGCAACACATTATATAGCAATGCAGCACAATATTAAGCTGAAGCCTCTCCAGGGCTGCGTGCGAGTCTCCCCATGGCTGTGCGGGCAGCGGATGTCACCAGTACTATGCGGGCGGCATGTGTCACCAGTACTGTGTGGGGGCGGCAGGTAGGAGAAGGTGTACATAAGGGGCCTGACCAGTGCTGTGTACTAGTCAAACACTTCCATTTATAAGTAAGAGAACAAGAAATTGTCAATCCTATAAATATGTAAAGATGCTGCATTTGTCAACTAATATGAGAGAGCGGTTAAGCAAGCATCAGTTTTTGGCTACATTTCCTGACCATATCCTTCGAATAACAAATGGCACACCGAGTAAATGGAGGACAAATTATTAATAACTCCTGCTCTGCTCTTGGAAATATTATGTACTTTTTAGAAGATCTTATTTAAGCTGTGTATCCAGACCTCACCAATATACACAGCAAAGCCAATGTTCTATATCAATTCCCACAAATAAAACATGCATTAAAATAATGAAATGCTTCCTAAATATTTGCCTGTAGATTCTGTAACTTATTTCACATACACTACTGGCAAACTTGGAAGAAGTGACTGATATCCAGTAGAATTTATAAATTCGTTGGAACCTTCCAGAATTCCCTCCAATGTTTTAGATGTAAAAGTTGGTGAACCTGTTATGCTTTTATGGAATTTGAAACCTACAAAATTGTGTAATGGTGTACTATTACAAATCATGATCTTGCATTTAATCTTTGCACATGGATCTTTAACTGTACGGTGAATATCATGTAGATGCTATTCTTATTGTAAGGATGCCTTTAATTCTAACAGTTTTTTTTTAATATACATTTTAAAAGGTTGCAGTTTCCTTTGAGATTATGTGTTAGTACAACTATTAACAAAGCTCAGGGATAAACTGTTCTTGTTGCTGGGATCCATCTCGCTTTTTTCATGGTCAGCTATATGTTGCTTGTCCTTTCAAGGCGGGTTTCAGAAAAGTCTATATTTTCACAAATTCAGATACTGTACAACAAATTTAGTTTATACTAAAATCCTTAAGAATATTTATACATTTTTACTATGCCTATTATGACAAAAATGTTACAAAACTGTAACTGGTTAATTTGATCATTTGACATGAAAGCATTTGAATACCTTGTAATATGGATTGGTATATACTGAGGAGGTTTCCACTTCTACAACTTTATGGAGTCCAGTGTGTGCGTGTGTGTGTCTCTGTGTAAATACACAATACGTTTATCAGCACTCTTAGGATTGATTTTAAATGCCAAGGTTTTTTTCTTGGCATTTATAAAAATGAATTTTAGAAGCTGGCAGAATTTATGATCAGCAAAAGTCAGTGTCAGAATTCCTGGCATCCTTTTTGTTTCTGAAGTCTTCACTGGAAAAGTCAGCTGGGTGTGCCTGCTTTTGCCCTGTAATTTTACAAATACAAATTAATTTAGCCACGAACACTTCATTCTTTCTTAAAAACAACCAGTTCATATTGGACATTTATAAGGATCTAAATCTCCACTGAAGTTATGAATGTAGCCTTACGACTACTGGAGTGTGTGCTGTTATTTTGTTGTATTATTTCCTTGTCTCAACAGAAAGGTCAGTCCAGTGTTGTAAGTCTCTTACAGAGGGTTGATGAGTCTCCTGTTTGTGCTTGGTGCTGATAACTGACACCTTGTCTGGGCTGCTGAAGGAGGGTTAAAATGTCAGTTATTAAAACCTTTAGTTTTCTTTTTATGTCATCCTGACATCTTTGTGCTGACAGTTTTATGATTGCCTGTTATCAGCTTTGGGCCCAGCTCTCAACCCCTGACAGGAAGATTATGCAACTTTATAATAAGCATTCAAGTAATCCCTAAAAGGTAAAGTTGTACTTTTAGTCTTTTAAAGAGTGGCAGTTTAGATTATCACAGAAAGCTATTGGTGAATGGTTTTTTTATCACTGAATTGTCTTGTGAAAGAAAGTTCATCTTAGTTAAAAGTTGTCTACATTGTGTTTCAGGGGCCAGAAAGTATCTGTGAAATCTACTCACTGGTTTTTAAAGATTTTTAAAAATTTACCAAACTAGCATAAACGATAATGCAGCTATTTTTTTTTTAAGTTGGTCATTATATGCATAGGGGATTATTTATTGCATTAACAAAAAACTTGAGTTGCTCATTACAACCTGCCAGCTTCCTAAGACTTCACTGGATGAATTACATTATATTTTGGGCAACACAGTTCGATCGTGGTGTATGTAAAGAAACTTTTTTTTATTTGTGGATGGCATGGGGAAGGGTTGAAACCCCTTTGTGTTTTTATTGCTGTCTGAGATTCACTCTATTTTTCCTAGTGGCTATTGTCACATGGAGAAATCATAAAAGAAACATGAACATTTTAGAGTTGTTACTTGAGGTGAGAGTAAGTCTTCCAGTGGGGACCAATATTCTGATGACAACTGTGTAAGATGGGAGTTCCCCTCTCTTTTGGGACATTTCCTCTCATTTACTGTTTTATCGACCCAAAAGGAAACCCTCCCCCGTGGGGCATAGACAGCAAAAAATAAATCTTGACTTTCTACCCATCCCTACTTATCCAAAAATGTTTAATATGGCCGTACACATACAATGAGGCATTTGGATATAGTGCAGCTGTTGGGTATGGCCTATATACTTTTTTTTCAACTGAAATTCTACTAGCGTATAGCCAGGTTTAAGCCATACATTAATTTTAAATCCACACATTTGCTCCCATAAAAAGCAGGTTTTACCATACATGCCTCCATGTTGTGAATTTTTATAGGGCAGTTTCCTTTGGTTTGATTTAAAAGTCATCACCAGTAATATCTACTGCCTCTCTCTAGTCAGTGTTTCTCACCATATGTCCACAGGGAAAAATGTGCAATTATGATTTGGTCTCAGTAAAGGTTTATGTGCGTTGAAAGACTATTACACTCTCCTCAAGTTAATTGTGCCCATCTGAAAACCGATCGTGGCTTACGCATAGCCATTGATCTCAATGTAATTTGTCTAAAAATAGATCAGGCAGCTTTTGTTGAAAGAGAAAAATGCCTTGAATAAGTGGTGTTTTGTTGAGTTTATAATGGAAACATGACCTCAGAGAACAGACTCCTGGAAACTGAATGCAGGCCCATGAATCAGGCACACAAGATGCTAATAATAGGCATTCATACTGGAGTACAGTAACGATGCAGGTGGAAGATATTTGTGACATATATTTTAATACACTACCCTTTCATTCCAGCCTTCTGACTTCTGAAGTTTCACCTGCTTATTTTAACCAGAAGAATATTCAATGTTATTGTTTTTTTTTTTTTTACCTCCCAGTTTAATATTTATTGTTGCAAAATTGTAACTGTAGCCAGTAACCTGTAATTCAGATATGAAAATGTAAATGCACATTAGAACGTTTTCCCAAAATGTTTATTTTTCCTGTGCGCTCACTAATTAAAATAGCATTGTGGCTAGAAGAACGACCAGTAAGCTTACAATATAATTTCTTTAAATTGAAAAAGAATCCTAACGTCTAAAAATGGGTATCTAAATGGTGATTTCACATTAGAATGATATAATTTACCCTTTTTTGTCACCCATTGGCTACTTACATCTAGCATTGGTATCTCCAGGCCACAGTTTCTAGCTCTACCGTACTTCTCACCCTTTGTAATATCTACAGTACCTAGGAGCTTGGGGTGGGATTCTAACGGTTATTTCAGACTGACATATTTTTGGTGTTGTTTGCCTT